TAGGTAGAGTTACCGCCATGTTGACTTGTCCTCGGCCATAGTCTCATTCCCTTAGATGATTTCTCAACTCCCTCTCTAGTTAAGCCTTTTGTAAGTGGATCCGCAACATTATCCTTTGATCTTACATAATCAATAGTGATAATTCCACTAGAAAGTAGTTGTCTAACAGTATTATGTCTTCGTCGTATATGACGAGACTTTCCGTTTACATAACGCTCCCTGCCCGTCCTATTGCAGCCTCACTATCGCAATGTATGCAAATAGGAGCCAAAGGTTTTGGCCAGAACGGAATGTCTTCTAAAAAATTCCGAAGCCATTCAGCTTCTTCACCGGCTTTATCCAATGCTATAAACTCTGATTCCATTGTAGAGCGAGCGATACATGTCTGTTTGGAAGACTTCCAAGATACTGCTCCTCCACTAGCAGTGATTTGGTAATATTGGACATGATCCACATATGTTATATATATTGGCTGAGTCAGAATTTTCTTTAAGGGGTATTAAAATATATAAAAGGAAACATATTTAAAAAAATTAAGAGTAGTCAACACATAGTATAAATGCTTTTTAGAAATAAATTACCAATCTACACAATGTATTTTTTCCGCAAAGGGATATCAATTGACACCCCTTGCTATAAGGTAGCTCCGCCACTGGTTATATATGTTAGGACCGTAAAAATCAGGTGTCATACGGAAGCTAGAAAAGCAAACCTGGGCGACGATAAATCATACAACAAAAGAGAAATCTACCCAAAGAGACACGAACATTTAACGTGGTTCGGTCAACTGACCTACGTCTACAGCGGACATGAGCAATTCATTATAATAAAAGAGAGTACAAAATATCGAGAGAACGACCTTACGAAGAGGCAAACACAAGTGACACACTAACACTTGTCCCGTAAAGTTCTCCCCCTAAACACGACTCTCAAGCCCCCTATTGCTACATTGTGGATGCAGTAATGAGAAGGACGTATCTTCAATTTATAGAACTCCAAACTTTTTCCTACAAGAAAAGGGACTAGTCAAGTATCGGAGAATTATAATTTCCTTCTACAAAAAGGAAAACCCAATTAAGGTAATTATATTGTCATTTCCTTCAACAAATAGGAAAACCAAATATGGTAAGAAAATTATGGCAAACACCAAACAATTCTCCCCCTTGGCCAGAATTTTCTGACAAAATAAACTTGATCCACCTTCTTCACATAGCCTTCAATAGGTTGCATCTCCAAATCTCCACCATAAAGTTTGTCTCAACGTGCGTAGCACACCGGTCAAATTTCTCAGACAAAAATCATGATTATCGTCAAATATGTTGTGGCTAGAACTGAACCCGCTAGATGAACCTGTCTTGAACCTCGCTCTGATACCACTTGTTAGGACCGTAAAAATCAGGTGTCATACGGAAGCTATAAAGCAAATCTTGAGCGACGATAAATCATACAACAAAGGAGAAATCTACCAAAAGAGACACAAATATTTAACGTGGTTCGGTCAACTGACCTACGTCCACAGCGGAGATGAGCAATCCACTATAATAAAAGAGAGTATAAAATATCGAGAGAACAACCTTACGAAGAGGCAAACACAAGTGACACACTAACACTTGTCTCGTAAAGTTCTCCCCCTAAACACGACTCTCAAACCCCCTATGGCTACATTGTGGATGCTACTGAATGAGAAGGACGGATATTCAATTTATAGAACTCCAAACCTTTTCCTACAAGAAAAAGGACTAGCCAAGTATAGGAGAATTATAATTTCCTTCTATAAAAATAAAAACCCAATTAAGATAATTATATTGTCATGTCCTTCAACAAATAGAAAAATCAAATATGATAAAAAAATTATGGCAAACACCTAACAATATACACTTGATAAACTATTTAACAACCTACATGTTCTTGACATTGATAAGGTGTCAAGAACATATGTCTATGTCTCTTAGATCTCATCCATATGTATGAACTGTATAGCACTAATAACATTGACTGTTTTTGCCGTTTGCTTTGAAATTTAGTAATGGGATTTTTACATACCTATATACCATTGGAAACTTTATTACCATCCATACTCAAGTTTTAATTTAATTACCTCTTATATACAAATTTACCAATTATATATATTTTAGGAATTAAATGAATATCTCTTTATATTAGGAATCAATTATTTCCCATCCTCTCTCTCTCTCTCTCTCTCTCTCTCTCTCTCTCTCTCTCAATCTCTAGTTTTAGTAATGTAGAGCAAAGAAAAATAGAGGAGCAATTCCATGCTTTGAATTCGAATTTGGGTTTTCAAAAAATATTATTTGTTTCAATTGGGTGTTGTTGCAAACAATTGGGAACTCTCTACGCCTCTCTCTATCTCTTAATCCCTAATTCCAGTAACATAAAGTAAAGGAAAAGAGAGCAGCAATTCCACCATTGACAGCCATTAAAAAGCTTTGAAGCATTGAATTCGATTTGGGTTTTCAAAAAACATTATTTGTTTAGATTGAGTGTTGTTGTAAACAATTGGGAATATGATTTGGTGTTTATATCTCAATTTTGAAGGTGTTTTGGTGAAGATTAGACTTAATTTTGGCTGAATTTCATATTGGAACTCGAAGAAGAAGAAGAAGAAGACATGACATACATTATACTTACGAAATTGTAGTAAAATTGTATGATGTTGTTTATATATGTTTATTTATTTAAATATTGTATGAAAGTTGAATAATATTGTATAAAAATTGTATTTAAGTTATATGATATTGTAGTTGTATATAACTGTGTAGAAATAATGTATGAAAATTGTAGATAAGTTGTAGATAAATTGTATAATATATAATTAGTTGTATATATATATGTGAATTGTATATATTTTGTAACTAAAATGTGTTTAGGTCCGGTAAATACCAAAATATGGACATTTTTCATAATAAGGTTTCAAATAGTGTATAGGTATGTAAAAGTCCCTTTAAGGAATTTTTACATTCCTATGCCACATAGAAAACCTTATTACCCTCAATGTTTAAGGTTTGACTTAATTACACTTAGTATACCAAATTACCAATTCTATACCATAATTAATTAAGGGTATAATTAATTGTACATTTTTTACTCCTTAATTAAAGGAATCTGCACGTTTCTCTCTCCTAACCCCTCAGTCCCCACCCACGTTTTACCCATACCCACGTTCTTTTTACTATTTTCCATCTTCTGAAACCAAATTCTCCCTCTAAATTCACAGAAAATTGAAAAAACACTTCAACAAAGTTGGTTCCCCATTTTACTCCAGTTGAAGTTCATCAATGAAGAACAACAAAGTTCATCAAAATTGAAGTCAAATCTTCAAAGTTCATACACACATTTACCTTCAGCTTCAAATTTTCTCAATGAAGAAGAACAAACCTTCAAAGAGACAAGAGAGAAGCAATTCCACCATTGACATCCATTAAAAAGCTTTGAAACTTTGAATTCAAATTTGGGTTTTCAAAAATCATTATTTGTTTTGATTGGGTGTTGTTGTAAATAATTGGGAATAAGTTTTGGAGCTTATATCTCAATTTTGAGGGGTTTTGGTGAAGATTTAGACTTGATTTTGGCTGAATTTCAGATTGAAACTCGAAGAAGAAGAAGAAGAAGAAGAATTGCAGCAATTATAGATAAATTGTAGATAAATTATAGACTATTTTTTGCAGAAGATTTTTAGAAGTTTTAGTCATTTTTGATTTGTGAAAACAGAAAACAAAGCATCTATAATCAGAATACAAATAATCTACAATTTATCTACAAAATATCTACAAACTGGGTACATTGAATTTTTAATATCCCAATTCTCATTCAATTGTAGCTTAATTGGTATTTTCGACATAATTGCATTTTTTGCAGAAGATTTTGTAGGAATTTTGGTCGTTTTGGATTGGTGAAAACAAAAAACAATGCATCTACAATCAGAATACAAATAATCTACAATTTATCTACAAAATATCTATAAACTGGGTACATTGAATTTTAATATCCTAATTCTCATTCGATTGTAGCATAATTGGTATTTTCGACGTAATTGCGTTTTTTGCAGAAGATTTGTAGAAGTTTTAGTCGTTTTTGATTTGTGAAAACAGAAAACAAAACATCTACAATCAGAATACAAATAATCTATAATTTATCTACAAAACATCTACAAACTAGGTACATCGAATTTTTATATCCCAATTCCCATCCAATTGTAGCATAATTGTGATTTTTGACATAATTGTGTTTTTTCAGAAGATTTGTAGGAGTTTTAGCCGTTTTAATTTGTGAAAACAAAAAATAAAGCATCTACAATCAGAATACAAATAATCTACAATTTGTGCAATATGTTTTCTTCTTCTTCTTCGAGTTTCAATCTGAAATTCAGTCAAAACCAAGTCTAATCTTCACCAAAACCCCTCAAAATTGAGATATAAACTCCAAACCATATTCCCGATTATTTTCAACAACACCCAATCCAAACAAATAATGATTTTTTAACCCAAATTTGAATTCAAAGCTTTCAAGCTTTTTAATGGCTATCAATGGTGGAAAATATCTGGAAGAATATTTACTTCCATAATTGTAGCGCGCCTAAATAGGAATATCTGGAAGAATATGATTTGATCTGATTTACGCCAAATCTTTTTAGAATATTCTGTTCCTCAATTTTAGCTCGACAAATTAGGAATATTCAGCTATTATTAATTAGTATTTAATTATTGGTATAATAACTTTAGAAAAAATATGGACAGGGCGGGTAAATTAGAAACTATGCACATTTTTTGTAATAAGGTTTCATATATGGTATAGAAAAGAAAAAATCTCTTAATTTAAGGTACTTTCGAAAGTGGAGCCAGCCCATACTAGCTCATCAAATTTCACAGGAGTTTCTACCTCCTATAGCAAAGGTTAACACCTTATTTATTTTGAATAAATATCATTTTAAAAAATTATATTCTATAGATACCTTTTAATGTTTATACCAAAATATCTAATTTTGGTTACCTCCTACCTGTAAGCCACTAAATACGTTATTCAGTTACACTATTTTCTTTCTCTCTCTACTTTGATACATGCTATTCTTTTCTCCATTCCTGAAAAATGAAAATAGCAACGAGGACGTTCAAGAAGTTGTGGTAGAAGTGGGGCTTGATGAGGAAACCCTATTGAGTTATCCAAAGTTGCTGTATTCAGAAGCTAAGGTCAATCACAAGGATTCAACATTGACTTGTTGCTCAATTTGTTTGGCGGATTACAAGAACAGTGACATGTTAAGGCTATTGCCGGATTGTGGGCATTTGTTTCACTTAAAATGCGTAGATCCATGGCTGAGGTTAAATCCAACTTGTCCTGTTTGTAGAACTTCTCCATTGGCAACACCACAATCCACTCCTCTGGCTGAAGTTGTTCAGGGTTTTTGCTCGACGGCGGATTCGCCGGAAATTAGGGTTTGTTCTTGAATTTCGAAGGATTTTCAGAGTCGCCACCTGACATTTAGTTTTGGTGTGCCAGGTCACCATTTTTAAAATAATATTTTTTCTTCAAAACACATTTGACTCGTGGAGAAGGTGTTAGGCGTTCCTCAAGTTCCGTGAAAGTCACGGTTGCGTACTCGATCTAGTTGGCTTTTAAAATATTCAAATTGAGGTTAAAAAACACATAAAAGGAAAATAACCACAAAAGAGGCTCGAGGCCATCCCCACCTAAGAAGAGAAAATGAAAAGAAAAAGAAACAAAAAATCCTAAGCTAACTTAAACTACGACTTTTCCACAATGCTCGTCAAGGCCTCCAAAATATTGACAAAGCTCTTCGGGGCATTCCCCAGAATAAAATATCTACAAATCCTTCGGGGCATTCCCTGGATAAATTTTACTAAACGACCTCTCGCCTCAAAATTAATGAAACGTCCTAATATTGCCTACCTAAGTGTGGTCGGCCTAACCATGCCACTAGCGGATAGCATAACAAAATAAATAAAAGGAAACTAAACTAAATAAAAGGGAAAATTCTAAATCATGCTCAAATTCTCTTGACTTTTATTTTATGTATTTGGTCAAGCTCAATTCCTAAGGCATGCAAACAATTTAATCACTAATGAGCTCGGCCCTTCCCAACTCCACAACTCATTCAAACAATTCATTCAATTATATGCTCAGATATAACAACCAAACATATAAACTGAATGTGATGACCCGGCCGGTCGTCTTAAGAATTTATGCCCCGATCCTCTATTCATTGCTTTTCCTAAGTTTATTTCTGCTATTTTGATTTGCCGGGATGTTCAATTTTGAGTTTCGGAGAATTTTGGGACACTTAGTCCCTAAATGAGAGCTTAAGTGTTGGAAAGTTGGCCGTAGTCGGAACAGTGTGAAGACGGCCTTAGAATGGAAATCGGATGGTTCCGTTAGCTCCGTTGGGTGAATTCGGGGTTAGGAGCATATTTGGATTGTATTTTGGAAGTCCGTAGCTAATTTAGGCTTGAAATGCCGAAAGTTGAATTTTTGAATTTTTCGGTCCGATAGTGAGATTTTGATACGATGGTCGAAATGGAATTACGGAAGTTGGAGTAGCTCCATAGTGTTGAATGTGATGTGTATGCAAAATTTCAGGACATTCAGACGAGGTTTGATAGACTTTTTGATCGAAAGCGTATTTTTGGAGTTTTTGGAATTCTTAGGCTTGAATCCGATGAAAAATAGGTGTTTGGATATTGTTTTGAGAATTCCGAAGGTTGGAACAAGTTTGAATGATATTTTTTGATTGGTTGGCAGGTTTGGTTGAGGTCCTGGGGGCCTCGGGGGTGTTTCGAATGCTCAACGGACCACTTTTGGACTTGGAAAGACAAGTTGTTGTGTCGCAGAGAAAATATTCATCGCGTTCGCAAGAGGGTCTCGCTTTCGCGTAGAGCATCTAGGTGAAGCAGCTGAAATGTGCTTCGCGTTTGCGATACTGTCCCGCGTTCGCGAAGGTAAGGACCCGTTGGTCTTCGCGTTCGCGACATGGTCCTCGCGTTCGCATAGGGTCTGCCCGTGTAAGCTACGCGTTCGCGAGTGGTCCTCGCGTTCGCAAAAGAGGAATTTAGCCAGCAGGACTTTTGTGCATTGTGTTCGCGATATTAGCCTCGTATTCGCGAAGAAGAACGCGTCTGGGCAGATATAAGATTTCAAATCGAGGGTTTTAGCCATTTTTATCAAAACTTAAGCTTGGTAGCTCGGATTTGAGCGAGATTTTGAGGGATTTTACGTGATATCGATTGGGTAACGATTCTTAACTCATTTTTGCTTGTAACCTATTAATCTAAACATGAATTCATCCTTTAATTTCGGAATTTGTATGAAAATTGGGGAAAAGTTCTTAGACCATGAAATTGAGTTTTTATTGGGGATTTGACATCGGATTTGGATAATTTTGGTATGGTTAGACTCGTGAGAGTGTGAGGATTCTGAAACTATAAATTTTACCCGATTCCGAGATGTGGGACAGAGGGGCATTTTGGTCATTTTACTAATTTCACATATTAGCTTAGAATTTCTTTGTAGAATCAGTTACTTGAAGTGTTATTTAATTATAAAATTGAATTGAATAGATTTGGGCCATTCGGAGTCGAGTACTCGTGGCAAGAACGTGGTCTCGGGTTGATTTTTGAGCCGGTTCGAGGTAAGTGGCTTGTCTAACTTTGTGTGGAAGACCTTCCCCTTAGGATATGATATATTTGATAATTGAAATGCCTTGTACGTGATGTGACGAGCGTGTACTTGAGCTAATTGTTAAAAATCCGGTTTTTCCTTAAGTATTTCAATTGAGTTCTTTTTCCTGTTTTATTCTACTTGTGAATTTAGCATGTTGCTAGTTTAGAAAAGCATGTTTAGTTGACTTAATTGCCTATTTGCTTAAACCGCCTTAATTGCATTACGTGAAGCATGGTAGGCTAGAATTAACTGTTTACTTAGTACAAAATTTAGCTTAATTGGGTATTCTTGTGTTGCTGCTATGTGTTTTACTTTGGGACTACGGGACGGCATCCCGGGAGATCCCATGTACGTATTTATGAACTGAACTAAGGTTCGGGATACCAAGAGATCCCTAGCACGTATACTGAGGATACTAAGAGATCCTCGGGATACCAAGAGATCCCTAGCATATATTGAGGATACCAAGAGATCCTCGGGATACCGAGAGATCCCTAGCATATATTGAGAATACCAAGAGTTCCTCGGGATACAAAGAGATCCCTAGCATATATTGAGGATACCAAGAGATCCTCGGGATACCAAGAGATCCCTAAGCATATATTGAGGATACCAAGAGATCATCGGGATACCAAGAGATCCCCGGTTATCATCCTTGTTATGAGTGGTACTTCCTTGTGGTTTGCCTTCATCTCTGTTTTCGTTATTGTACTCTTATTATCCTGTGTAGATTCTTACTATAGATTCTCAATTGTACTGCTTATCTTATCATGTCATCTTTATATTTATTTAATCTCAGTAGGTCACTGACCTTCCTAGTCACTACCCAACCGAGGTTAGGCTTGGCACTTACTGAGTACCACTGTGGTGTACTCATGCCTCTTCTGCGCATGTTTTTCATATGCAGATCCAGGTACCGCTACTCAGGCCTATCATCCTTGAGGATGCGACTGCTCTAGAGACTTCGAGGTATATCTGCCGCGTCCGCAAACTGAGAAGTCCCTTTCCATTCCTGCCTTTAGTATTTAGCACTTTTGTATTTTTCTATTCTTATTAGACATTCCGGAGTTAGAGCTATGTAGTACTTATCTTAGCTTGTGATTCGTGGGTTTCTTGGTCTTGGATTTATGTTTTGGTATTGAGAGTTAAATATGGTGTAAGCCGAGTGGCACATTTAAACACTGTTATTACTTTATTACTATTTTAAAATATTTTACTTCAGCAAATTTTGGTTTTCTTCCGTAATTTAGGCTTACCTAGTCGTAGAGACTAGGTGCCGTCACAATGGTTCATGGAGGGTAAACCGAAGTCGTGACAAGTTGGTATCAGAGCTCTAGGTTCATAGGAGTCATGGATCACAAGCTAATTTTTAGAGTCTCGTTGTTCGGTATGGAGACGTCTGTACTTATCTATAAGAGGCTATGTAACTGTTAGGAAAATTTCCACTTTATTTGCGTCCTTGTCGTGCGATATTTTGACATCACAATTCTAATCTTCTGTCTTATATTCTCTCACAGATGGTGAGGACAAGTGCTACCCTAGATGATCAAGCACCCACGCCCCTACTACAGCCGTCAGAGGCTGGGGCCGGGGTAGAGGCCGAGGAGGCGCACGTGGTGCAGCCAGAGCACCTGCGCGAGCTACCGTCGAGGTACCACTCGCAGTTCCAGCCGTAGTCCAGGCACCTGATACGCCTACTGCTACTACTACTCCAGCCCTTCAGGAGACTTTGACACAGTTTATGAGCATGTACACCACCTTGGCTCAGGCAGGGCTGTTTCCCCTTGCTGCAGCCACATCTCAGGCCGGGAGAGGAGCACAAACTCCCGCCGCCCACACTCTTGAGCAGCGACTGCATGTTGAGCAGGTCCCTGAGATTATTCCTGGACCGCCTGCAGTGCCAGTTCAGCCCGAGGACAGGGCAGCGACTTCCGAGGAGGAGCAACTGAGGCTTGAGAGGTTCTAGAAGTACAAGCCTCCTGTATTCAGCGGTCTAGCATCGGAGGATGCTCTGGGATTTCTAGATGAGAGCTACCGCATTCTCTGTACCATGGGTATATCAGGATTGAGCGGGGTTTCCTTCACTACCTTCCAGCTTCGAGGAGCCGTCTATAAGTGGTGGCGCACCTATGAGTTAGACAGTCCGGATGAGGCTGCTTCACTGACTTGGACTCAGTTTTCAGATCTGTTCCTGAGAGAGTATGTTCCTCAAAGCCTCAAGGATGCATGGCGCACAAAGTTTGAGCATTTGCGCCAGGGTGCTATGACTGTCTCAAAGTATGTTATCCTTTATACTAGTTTGGCTAGGCATGCACCAGCCTTGGTTTCTACTATTCGCGAGAGGGTTCGCCAGATCATTGAGGGCCTTATTCTCAGCATGAGGTCTTGCATGGCTCGTGAGTTGGAGATGGATATTTCTTATCAGCAGGTGGTGATCATTGCTAGGAAGATTAAGGGTATGCATGCTAGGGAGAGAGAGGAGAGGGAGGACAAGAGGTCTCGAGAGTCGGGTCATTATTCTGGTGCTCGTACCCCACCTGCAGGTCATCATGGTAGGGATTATATGAGTCGCCCTATTCATTCAGCTCTTCCAGTAGCTAGTGGTATTACAGCTCCTCCTAGGCCTCAGGAGCCTTATTATGCACATCCGGTTTCTAGCGCGCCTCCTATGCGGGGTGCTTTCAGAGGTCAGTCCAGCAGACCTGGTCCGAGCCAGTCACAGCCACCACGTCATCCCAAAGCTTGTTTTGAGTGTGGT